TATTTATGTCTCTGGCAAAATCTCAAATAAAATTTCTATATCATAACTAGATCATTAAAATGCAGATTTTTTTTTTTTTTTTTTTTTTTTTTCTTGCGTTATGCGGGCCTCTCACTGTTGTGGCCTCTCCCATTTGCGGAGCACAGGCTCCGGACGCGCAGGCTCAGCGGCCATGGCTCACGGGCCCAGCCGCTCCGCGGCATGTGGGATCTTCCCGAAACGGGGCACGAACCCGCGTCTCCTGCATCGGCAGGCGGACTCTCAAGCACTGCGCCACCAGGGAAGCCCGATTTTTTTTTTTTTTTTAACACAACAAAAGTTAATTAACATTGGCAGTAGTGTGGTATAGGGGAAAGAGCACTGACTTTGGAGTCAGAGGGACCTGGATTTCAATCCCATCTGTGCCACTTCGGAGCTTGGTAACAAACCTTTCTGAGCCTCTCTGCAAGAAGGTCGATAATGATGCCTACTTCATAAGATAGTTATGAGGATTAAATAGAGAAATAAGTGTCTAGCACAGTGTCTGGCACCCAAATGCTTAATAAAGCTGTAATTTCTATTATCGTAACAGCCAGGGGTTGTAGAAATCAGTGGGCTGGGCTTAATGTGAGAGGTATGATGCTCCCCAAGCCTGATGTGGACAACGCCCAAGGTTCCTTAAACCTAGATGCAAACACAGGATCAGTATCAGCACCTTATCCAAAGCAGCCAGAGAGGTACTACCGCTTTAACATTTCATACCACCATCGTTTCTGAGACTCCAGAATCTGACCTCCAGCAGCGCCTTGGCCTCGGTAATGCCAAAGATTAACTTGAGGCCAATGTTGCTATGGGGGTCAAGGGAGTAAAACAAAGCAATATTCCTTCCAGCTGAACACTAGAGCCAAAAGAGGTTGTGTTTTCAAACAGATCTGATCAAAGGACTCCAGCCCTCAGCTAGAAGGGCTGTTGTAATTAACATGGTAAGGTTTCTTAGCAACGGTTTACTTAGCAACAACGAAGGTACAGGTATGCCTCAATAAAAGCGAACTCAATATATGAAAATCCATATGTGTGAAAAAGACAAATTTAAAAGTGACTGCTTTACAGACAGGTGTTTTATTTGGTGCCTAAAAAATGTGATTAGATTTAAATACATATACACATGCAGGTGTGTGTCAAATGTAAAATACTGCAGAGATAAAAGAAACGAAGTTGAGTTATTTGTAGTGAGGTGCATGGACCTAGAGTCTATCGTACAGAGTGAAGTAAGTCAGAAAGAAAAAACAAATACTGTATGCTAACACATATATATGGAATCTAAAAAAAAAAGGTCACAAAGAACCTAGGGGCAGGACAGGAATAAAGACACAGACCTACTAGAGAATGGACTTGAGGATGTGGGGAGGGGGAAGGGTAAGCTGGGACGAAGTGAGAGAGTGGCATGGACATATATACACTACCAAATGTAAAACAGATAGCTAGTGGGAAGCAGCCGCATAGCACAGGGAGATCAGCTCGGTGCTTTGTGACCACCTAGAGGGGTGGGATAGGGAGGGTGGGAGGGAGGAAGACGCAAGAGGGAAGAGATATGGGGATATATGTATACGTATAGCTGATTCACTTTGTTATACAGCAGAAACTAACACACCATTGTAAGGCAATTATACTCCAAAAG